AATAAGTGGTGCGGAATGCATTTTTTTAAACTTGAAGATTATTGAAATGTTCCAAATTGAAATACGTATAAGACTTGCAAACAGATAAATCTGAAAACATGTATATACAAATCGATGGTTTGATACATGTGAATTATTTGAATAGAAGGTGTCAGTTATAAATGTGACTATTTAAATAATCTCATTAAATTAAGATCTCATTTGGTGTATTATTTTTTTTAAAGTGCTTCTTCATTTGATGTTACCTTTCACATAGGCTTACATTGTATCACTCCACTTTTGGTTATATCCGATGAGATAAAGGAAAAAGCAAATAAAAGATTCACAATTTATGGCTAATATGTTTCGTTTACAAGATTTAATAAGAAATCAAGAGGAAATAATGCACATGATTAGGTTCATCTTCTCTAGAAATGTAAGTTGAAGATCAGGTTTAGAAAACAATTCAAAACAAGGCTATCGGGTGATGCAACAAATCCAAATATTTGCAGGTACATAGCTTTTAGCTGACATCAAGTCTAGCACAAGTTTAATTAATCCCATCCAGTAGTATCAGGTGACGGAAATTGAACCCTTATCTAACACCTTTGTACCCCGGATCGTTCCTTAGAGACTGACCTTAATGCTTGCCAATTTGGTGTGTCATTTGTATGGATCCAACTTTTCGCACCATCCAATGAAAAGGAAACTTAATTCTAACCCTTTTCTTGATTTTTTTTTAAATAAAGGAGATTATTTTATTTTTAAACTGTTAGAATTTTTAAAGGAAAAAAAAAGGAAATGTAATGTTTGTACTTTTTTTTTTAAAATTTCATATCATATACATTACCTTGTGGTTTGAGGTCATTTCCAGATGAAATTGTGAGTCATAATAAGTGAAAAGATATCTTTTTTCGTTAATAGAAACCTGGAATTCCCTTAAACCAAATGCAAAACGTGAAGGATAATGTACATGTATCAAAGTTTCTAAAAAAAAATTAAAGAATGTATAAAAGTTCCTATTTTGCCTTAAGAAAAACATGTTTTCAGAATTAAAAATATCAGAAAGAAATCTTTATGATAACAAATAAAAACTTTATGAAAATAATGAAAACCACGTATGAACCATCAAACTTATTGATTTGATTCTTACAAATAGAAGCCTGCATCTTCGACTGTCAAAATAAAAGAAACCACTATAATTTGCAGCCATCATCCTTCAAATTTATTGACAAAAGACTTCCTCAAAAAGCAAGTTATAAATTAGTATTCAAAACATTCCAATATTATGTTTGACAAGCAAAGGTTTCATTTCTTCTGAAAAACCTTGCAATTTTCATCCTAAAAATTTGTCTTTGTAGTAAATGTAATTATTGGAACGTACGCCGTCTTTTCATACAGCGCCCATTCAGTTTCCTTAAGGAAATGAGTTGTCCCAAAAATGCCTGTATAAATAATATTTCATCGCTACTATCCCCCCATAAAACGTGGACTCTGCCTTTCTCCATAATAGCATGTCTGCAGTGCATTATGGGAAAATAGGAAGTAATTAGTGTTCTTCAAAATGCGCTCTAAGAAGTACGCTGAAATAGATACTTAGTTGATTTTAATGTCTGTTGCAAGAAAATATGGTCAATTACACCTCAGATGCGTCGTAAATTTCTTCGGATGTCATTTTCTTGCTGCGTTTAAGTTTTGCGAGCTTTATTAGACATAAGAAAATGCTTCTTGAGTAGTTTCGAAAGTGGAAAATTGATGGAAAAGTGACTTATTGATTGGGTTTTTATTATAGATATAATATAACATGCTTTTAGCTAAAAACAAAATAGATTCGTCTAGAAAATATTATAAGGTATTTTCATCGTTTACTTTAGTCGTTTTAAAAACTTACTAGCAATTTGGTATCAAACGTTAAGTACCCTGCCAGATACATTCGATTTTTATTGCATTTTTTAAGAGAAGTATGTTTCAAAGAGTTTTGAATAGAAAACCAAAAGAAATGAACTCACCGCTACAGCAAATAGGGACAAACATACATGTTTTTTTAAAAACTACTTCTGATATAATATTATATAAACTTTTATATACAAAAGTTCTTAATAAATTACTAATCATTGTACATCAAACACCAGTCTTTATTATTTTTTTTATCTATTTGGAATATAAATTACAAAAATGTGAAAAGGATATTCTACACTGAACACGAAGACCAAACTAACGTCATTGCCAATCAAAGGAACTGTATGCCATAGATTTTGAAAAATCAGAGATTGATGTTGGTTATAAATTCTTGATGAGAAAACGAAATCTTCGTTAACAATATATATCTAAAGTTAGAATTGAAGACATGTACAAATCAGGAAAAAAGAAGAAACACCAACAGTAACGAAGAAAGAAAGAACCGAAATGGAAGATGGTTTGACATTAAAATATCCTCCGAGTAGCCATTGAAAATAATTGTTCTATAAATCACATGGAGCCCGACCATTAGGGACAAAGCATGAGACACTGCATATAATAAGGAACCGAATCCATTAATGAATAGGTAGCAAAAATCGGAAGTTACAGCGTGTAGTTGGCCAAACGAAGTGACAATATGAATAATGAATGTAATGCGCTTGTTTAAGGTATGAGTTATTACGATAATTGTGGAATATCTAGATTCGATATCAATCAATTTGGGTGCCAATTGAGTTTTTATGGTAGGATAACCTAAATACTCCGATTATTGCAGCAATGTCTGTTAGATGTGAGCATTACTGAATTGTTCTTACGTAACATAGATTAGTAAGTATTTGAGCTTAATATTCAGAAATGTAGATTACGCACATACATTTGCAAAAATGGCTATTGCATAAGATTACATACACTCCTCGTTTGTATTAACACTTCTATGTCACATCTCATATTTGCCCCCAAAAAATAAAAACAAGGAACAATAATATCACTTCTTAATAATATAAAGTTATATTTTTTCTAAAATAATAAATTTTTTTCAACGTTGGAGACATTCAAACTTTGAACGCAGTCACAAAATTTACACTGAAATTTGTCCCAGTGTGCTTAAAGTGAAATCAAGACATACATTGATTTTCTGCGAAATCAGCTTGTCAACGATTGAACTAAATTTTGTGATTCCTCGAAATTTTGAACCTGTGGAAAAAAGAACGTCTACAGAATTTAAAATGTCACTTTTTACTGGATATATATTACATGTACAAGCCATCTAGCTATAAAACATCTTATGTCCCTTTCATTTATTACAACAAGCCACTGGCTAACATAGCACATATTTCTATATTTCAACAATAATTTCTTCTTACATGTACTAGTTATCCTTTTCCCCAAATTGAGCCTTCTTTCAGTTTAAACTCATAAATCATGAAACATGAGTAACTGTATTATTTTGTTTAGCAAAGTATTTTATGCAATAAATACAAACTGCTCTTGACTACCAATACATCGAAAACAGTCAATTTGAGTGTGATATTATTTCTGAATCTAAAGCTAAACACATCCATCAAAAATGATTGCACCACTCTGGGTCTTACCATTTACATAATCACATTATCTTACTATTCTATATAATTGATGTGTTTTATAAACCATGCCCGTATTTGATAATCAAATTGGAGGTGCTATACGGTGACAATTTTGAACAAAATCAACTTCACACGTGTCCATAAGACAACATATCCCAGTATCAAGTAACGTTTACTATAGAAATGAGATAATCTCCTCATCCTCAAATAGTATACCCATATGAAAATAAAACATAGAAATGACGGAATGGAGACAGAAGATGGGGCATAATTATCCTTCATAAATTTCACCCTATACCAGGTCGAAAGAAAATGGCACCCGTAATTCGTATAATTTTCATACTAACTATGCCTGTCGACAATTTTCTCATTTTCAACATCTGTGTGGGACAAACTCGCAGTAAAGCCCCAACAATTAAAGAATATTTGCAATCTGCTCAGGTAGAGAGGAGATACAAACAGGTAAAGCACTACATTGATAATCAACGCAAGGAGACGGTCCATCTGTCTCTTGTCTGTTTCAATATCTTTCGCTAATCTGCACAACCTATAGTACCCGTCTACAATTTAATCAACAGGAAAATGTGTAGATTAAATCCTAACTGATTTGCATGGATTATTGATGATTTTCTTCTTTCTTTTCAATCTTATATTTGTTTGCTTCATACAACTGATCAATAGCAGGTTCGGAGGATCAGTGATAATTTGTTATCTGATTTCACAAATCATTGAATGATTTTGAATTTATTCGTCTTGCCCAAATGTCTTTTAAAATTTTGCTTGCTACAATGCAGAGAAGAATATTGATTAAACCAAAATTATTTTTTTTAAATCACGAAAACTAAACTTATGTTTTGACATTTTATGAAAAAAACAACACATTCCTTCAAATTAAAGTTGATATGCTCTGATGATTCAAATATGTACACAAAACTTACTTTCAGAAATATCTTTGATAATTAATTTGCTTTTCAAGTGATGTCAATTTAATTAAGCATTGGAATTGTGACTAAATACTTGAATTTTGAGTTAACATTTTTAGTTAGATCCTCGCCTGCGTGGTACAGTTGTAGGTAAAGCGTTTGCTCTAGAGTCGCAGAGTAGGGATTCGATCCTTATGTCGAAGGCTGAATCCCTGTGTGGCAGGGAGACCAGTACTTCGGACAAGAACGTTTAAACCGAGGTTGTTCTTTTTATCGCAGTAAGTGCTGATACGAAAAAGATCCCTTATACTGCTAAAGGTCGGTTATTGCTGCATGAACGCAGGTCGTCATTTGCAGTTCTTTACAGGCAAGTGATGGAGTCTCAGTATTTGTGAAAATTTCTCAGGGGGACATTGATCAAAAACAAAATATTGAAATATTTTGTTTTTATTATTATTTTTATGTATCTGATTATTCAATGTAAAGTTTTTAATTACATATATTTTGTTTAAATCAAAATCAATGAAAAAATTTCTTCCTCATTGGTTAAACTTACCTGCAAAATAGCTCTTTGTCCTAAGATAACTAACTGCCAGACGAAGAATTGAAAGTTTGTCTAATTTGGATATTACAGATTGCTCAAATGGCAGCAGGCTAGCAAGGTGATCAAGTTCTGAATTGAGTCTCTCTCTATGCCTTTTGCTTGGGTTACTTTTGGGAGGGTCTTTTACCGGTGTCTTTTGTCTACAAGAAACAATAAAAACTATTAGACAGAAATGATCCATTAAAAATTTACACTTTTAGTCTATACTGGCTGATAAACAATGAGATGAGAAGATCATAAATGTAGTGTTTCAGCAATACACGTGATATGATTGATATTTCATAGATGTCATGTTTTATATAATAATTTGCAATTCATTGTCTAGAAATTTTTGTAAAAAGAATATTAAGCATAAATTATATTTTGCTATAGACTAATAAGTAATTATGCAACTGTTTATAAAGTGTTGTCTCTCTGTTATATTGTTTGAAATCCTCTTCATGTATTTGGATAACATTTGGTTATAGTAAAGCATTATCGCCCTCTTAAGATATATTGTCAACGTAGGACCAACAACAGATAAATCATCTTTCAAAAACTTGTGAGTATTTACACATTATTCCTTCTTAATGAAATGCACACACAACATTGCCATCCAATGATGCAAGGACTCATTAAGACAGAACAATCATTCATGTTACCCTTAACGCTGCTAGTTAAACTCTCTGACAGGGATTAGCTCCCTTGAGTCTTCTAAGTTCGTTTGACAATGGGACTCCTACAGAGACCCAATTAAACGTTCATTATTCCCTGACTGTGTTGGTGGAAATGAAATGGCTTCTTCGCTGTGTAAATTTCATATTTTGCTTGGTGTCGGCTTCGACTTTTTGATGCATCTGTTACTGCGAGGAACCATTTAATAGGCATTATATAGAAATGTGTTTCTTAAACTCTAGAAATGATGTCCCTGTATTTTGCTCAATCCATTTATAATGTCGTAATGCGAATAGAATTTTATGACATGAATGTGAACAAACACATGCACTGCAGTTTTAAAAAGTATTTTATCTTTGGAAAATACACAATCGCATGTACTTTGGAAAATCCTTTTCAAGTAAAATCTTTTTGTACAGTCATTCTATTCATTGAGGTACAGAATGGTTACTTTTGTTTCCTGTTTTGAAAGATAAGATTCAACTGAGTTTTATTTACTCAACACTACAGGAAAACACAGTATGGCGTTTTCTAGGTTATCTGTGATAGTAATTATAAAGGTATGTTGATGTATTTTGAATGATGAAACAAAAGATAAATTCGAAAGCAATTAAATAGTTTTAAAAACTATTTATTGGAGGTGACGCTCATATCGTTAAAACAAAACATAGATTTGTTATATTCTCTAGTCATCCACAAGTAACCTCCGGGGCAGTCGTTTTTCTTTATAAATTAAATCAAACTTGCTAAATGATTACAGTAACTGAACAGAAGCAAAGTCATTCTAATCCCTTGATATTGACAATTACATGATTGTATCAAATTACGTCAAAATTGACTCGAAAGAATAACTCGAAATATTTAGAAACATTAACGGAGTAATTCACTTATAAGGGCAAAATAACAGTTATTTCTATGCGCAGGTTCATCAAATAATTCTCTTTCGCGCAGAAGAACCAGATGTGGAATATTGCATTAGGGAACTGTCAAATTGCCCCCGGGTTTCTATCCGCAGCCATCTACAACATCCCCCGAAAATTATTTGATATCGATGCATCATAAAGAAACAACTTAATTAAATTATTATATCTGATTGTTCGTTTTCTATGTTTTGTTTTTTCTTAATTAGAAACTTGTCAAAAATAGAAGTTTGTTCCGAATTCTGATAGTAAATCTTTTCTTCAACATGACTTACACATTGTACTGATCAGAGAATGTAATGTTAAAAAGTGATGTCATATAAATAAGTATAAATAGATAAATAAATAATTTAAATAAAATATCCACATCTTTATGTTCAAAAAGATGTAAAATAAAGTGTTTCATATTTATATTTGATTTTATTAAAATTTCAATTTTTGTTTCGATGTTAATGCAGTATAAGACAAAATAAGAGTTTAAGACATCAGAAAATACTTAAAATATTTTGCTGCTTAAGGTCATGTAAATGTTTCTTTCAGATATTCGTCGATAAGGCAATCAGATTTCAACACAAACGGTTGTTTAAGAAAACTGACCAGTGCGTGAAGAACCTTGATATTGCAGACAGGTCATTTCCTATCCAAATTGATGGCTTTATAACCAGAAAATGAGCTTGCTCATCTTCGGCGATATATGACGGTTATAAATATTCATATATATTTCACACCTTCTAGTGTTTCTATCAGTTCTGCAATTCATAAGGGAAAGCATTTTAGCAAGTACTTCTTAGCCATAAACATTTCTTTCAATAGCATTCAAACAATTTCGACTCTATTAAGCACATTTAATAAAGTTTTCCTTTAATTATTGAAATTCAAAATACTGTTTTCTTACTAATTTTTTCATCCTTAATTTTACTTAATTTTTTCCAAATAAGTTATTTACAAATCAAAATAATGAATGAAACTAGTTGTTAGAATGCTTAAGTACCCTCTCTATAAAAGGTAAATATTGATATAACAATTTTTGCATAAATGTAAACTTTACCACATCTTTTCATAGATATAAATAAAAAATATAAAAGTTCCTTAGGATTGAATATTTGACCCGGAAAAACATCAGGGCAAAATGAACAGTTAAAGTTTCAATTCAATTCCCTATAATCAAATTCATAAAATATTGTAGTCATACTCTAAAACCCTTTACTCAGAATCTCTCTGTCTAATTAACAACTGCCCATAAAATCAAGCAAATCAGTTCATTTAGTGCAAGAAGCAGTCTGTGTAGAAAAAGAATGGAAGTAAGCTATAATTAAAGTTTTATAGCTATGTTGTTAGACTCCAGCTTGTAGCTGACCTCTCAAATAAAATGTCCTGGTCGATGATTTTTTTAGGCCAGTAAATCTGCTCGCCCCCAAATTTTCGCTCAAACATACGAATTTAAAAGATATAAACTTGCTTTTATATGTTTGATGGGCAAGAAAGAGGCGTTCTATTAAAGTACATGAGTGTAAAATGAAAACTGATACTATAGTGTTATAAATTTTGCTGTCTAAAATCGATCGGACAAAAACGGTTCATTGAATACAGTAATGCATGTCATTGAGCAGAATTGTCCAGTCATTAAATCTTTTAGGCTTTAACAAGAGATGACCAGTGGTTGTTAGCCATTATATGTGTAGGAACCTCCTTCTGCAACGACATATCTGATCAAACTATCACTAAAGTAAACTAAAGTACACTTCTTGTATTTCATACGAGGGAGAACAATCCGGCAATATAAATGCTCTTTTGAACTTTGGAAGTGAAATCCATTTTGCTCACTTAAAAAGTGATTAAGCGAGAACAAAATATGGAGCTTGGTAAAAATTGTTGTTTTAATATTAACTTTTTTCAAAATCTGATCTCGAATATTTAAAATGCTTATCACCCATAAACTTACTCAAATTTCTACTTCACCACCGATTATTTTAATTAACTCGAATATTTGTTGAAAATCACTGACTTCATTGACATCATATTTAGGTTGTTTCAAATAAGTGAAACATGATCATGAAATGTAGCAAGAATTCAAAACAACAAGCAACCGTGAAGTTGTAGGTCCTCTAACTTTATGTCATTTAAAGTTCATTCAAATTTCACATAAAATTGACATCTGCCAATAACATGTTACATGGCTTGACATGTTCATTTGGTAGACCCAAGTTAAGGTAACCACACAGAAAAGGCAGCACATAAGCCATCAAACATAACTTTGACCGTATCAATTACAGAATAACCTTAGGCAAAGGAAGTCCAAGTCCTTTCTGGCACTCCTTTATGTTTAACAGTGAATAGAGAATTCTAAATATTGTCATATTGAGGAACATATTCCTTTTATTTTAGAGGACTCAATATAAAATCCGAAATTTATTTTATTTTATTTTTTTTAAGGTTTTCGTCATTTGCTTTCAGGCTTGTTGTTATACATGGTTTGAATGTGAGCAATAAGAGCATCTCACTCTTTCTCTCTCATAGTTTCCTATTTCAAATAATTTTCTATTTTTGAAAAATCAGTCATAAAAAAAACTCAGAAATAAACAAGTTGAAAAGCTATAAATCTAGCGATAAATCCTTTGTAGAGAAATAAATCAGTATTCAGTCAAAATTGGACAGGAAGGATATCATAACTAATGACTTTTGAACATATTCACACATTTATTGATAAATACATAAGCCAAGTTTAAAAGATCTTTAATCAGTCCAACTGCAGTTCATAGAATTCAAACGACCTGCTTTGCAATGCACACATGTAAAAGTGCTAGGTCCCCCTAGTGATGTGTTGTAAATTGTCCCTTTTCCAAAGAGATAGCATTGACACGGTTCCTTATCCGAACCCCAGGATCTTATAATTGAAGTAGATTTGAAAGAAACAGCATAAAGAACGGTAATTATGAAATAACTTCAAACAATTATATCTGGCCTGAGTTTCGGGCTTTCAATGCCATCGACTAAAAAGTTGTTTAGAACTACATCTGCTGAAGTAATCGCAGAGGAATGCGTGGTTGTGTAGAAAAGACATTCAAGAAATTGAAAAATGAATATGCAAGATCTTTGATTCATCTAGGTTTCAGCAAGATAGAATCAACCTTTAACTAAGGGAACTGTTTTACAAAAAGTCTATGATTAGAGATAATAATCTTCTAATACACAGTAAATATTTATTCTGGCTTTTGACATATAGAGAGGGCTTTTAGCGTTTGAGTTGTTAAAAGGCAAAGCTGCAAAACAATGCACCAGTTATGCAAATGTCAGATCTAAGAGAAGCATGCACAAAAATTGATGTAGGTAGCTGTTTGGGGGTATATAATTTATGAAGACTGTCATTGCTTAATGAACTGAAAGTGTCTCAAAGAGGAATAGATGTCATTAGAATGACCCCACAAATTGAAAGGCAGACTCTAAAATGAACTGTAATTCTACTAACCTTTGTGCAACGTTGACCTTCTCTCAAGAATATCGGTTAAACAAAATGAACATAATCTTAAGCTAGGAAATTAAATTGTAGTCTTTGTCCCTTTGAAGGA